TTTCTGTGTATCATGTTAGCATTGTCCGCCCTTTGCCTGACGTGCATGGTTTTTTATGACAGAGATATAAAATGTACACTACTGTGCATACAGACATGAATACGAAATCTGGCAAAACCTTCTTGGGAACCAAATTCCCTAGGTTTTTATTAAAACAGGGCAGAACGGGGGACAAAAGAACGAGTGTGTGGTGTGTGACTTTTGAGTTTATTTATTATTTTTGGTTTCACAGAAGCTTTGCACTGTCCTTTCTGCGGGTCAGAGGCAGCGTGACCTGTGATGTAACTTGTGTAGTGAATCCCCATAAATCCCAGTGGAATCGCTACCGGAACGAAATGAATGCTTTTTTCAGACCCTGAAATGCTGCTTCCATGTTTCTAATTTTTAAAAGAATTAATTACTGAAACATACCGGGTAGAGGTTATGAGGAAGCCAATGTTTTCCAACTCAGCGTGGGTAGAAATAGATAAGAAATCTACATGCATCTCTCCAGGTCTCGCTGGGATTTCTATGAATAAGAACGTGGTCCATATAAGAAAACTTGGAATCCCTTTTCTCCTCTGCGCATTCCTTCCAAATATTTGTATACATGCTGAATGAACTAGTTTCTTTACCACTTTAAATAGATTAAGTGTTGAGAACGGGTGCCTAAAGACATTATTTAATATGAGGACATTTATATAATATATATCATGAAATGCGTCCCTGCAAATAGAGATAAAGCTTTGAAACACATCAGGGAATAGTTCTCTCCAACCCAGATTTGGGAAAAGAATCTACCCACAGTCCACATGTGCTGCAACTACATCTGTGCACACAGATAACCAGCTTTTCCTTTGCTACTTTATATCCAATGCGCACTGGAGAGCCAGGGCTGAGTGCCACTTGCCTATCTCAATAATGACGAACAGACTTAGCCAGCAATTTTATTTTTTTAGTGAAACAAAGTTTATTTTTTCCATTTCCTTAAACAGTCTTTTTTTCAAAAACTGCTTTTTTGTAAAGACTATATTGGCTCTTCATTGTTTTGATTTATTAAAAAATAAATCGTGATTTATTGGAATTTATTAGAAACTATTCAAATTTTCTTAGATGAAGAAGAAAATTCCTAAACACAAATAACTGAAAATCCCAGGGGTCTTGAGCCAGGGCGTGGTTAACCAGAGGCTCCTGATGTCTCCTCGTCGGGCCTCTCTCCAGGCTCCCCCCCCCCATCCTACCAGCTCTAAATCTGTATTTTCTCAGGGTTGATTTTAAGAGACAACAAACTCTCTCTGAAAAGTCTAAGCGTCACTACACTTCATTACCTCCAGGGCGGTTGCCTGCTCTTATTGCTGTGTGTATCCAGAAAACCTAAATGTTCCGATGAGCTACACGCGAATCACTTAGCCAGTGGATGGAGAGGCGGAGCCCGGTCTGACCCCAAGGGGTGGCATGACACCTGGGGACGCAGGTGGCCCTGGGGGAAAACCACACAGCTGTGCAGGTGCCAGGGGCTCCCAAAGGTGGACCGTCCACCAGGCGTTAAAAGTAAAAATGTGTGTTGAATCAACAACAGTATTTACTTTTACAAGTTCTGTCATGAGACGATAGAGACTTCTGTGTAGATTTTATATCTTTGACCTCAGATGACCAGATCATTATTCAAATAAAAATGTTAGGAACTTCCTAATCGTCTTTATCATCTTGGATTTATTGTCATAGATATCTTGTGTATATGGAGCTCTACACATCTGGGTGTGTAAAAAGGGGAAGTGTAAAATATGTGTACACGTGTATTCTATAGTGTGCACTTGGCAGACAAAATGATTAGACATATTCTCGCAGAAGCTGTATCATCTTGTCCATTCCCTACTTGAAAGTGAGGTTTATTTTCAGATTGTATCCCAATAAAAAGAACTGTGTTTCTATGGTGAGGCAAACACTGATTATAGTGTAGACTGTTTGGAATAAAGAGAGATAAGAGAAAATGTAGCCATTCTTAGGTAAATAAGTAATCAACAAGCACTTTGCAGAGGATGCTAACAGAAAATGTCCAAGACAATAAACCTGACACAGGCTTGATGATTAAGGGGACTAAGCTGTGTCTTAGCACACACCAAGAATAATGTACATTGATGGATAAAGTCCCTGAAACAACCGAGAAAGGTCCCCGAATCTCAGTCAAATCAATGTGGACAGAGGGGACAGCAAGATCCAAGGACAAAGCACCTGGGAAAGGTCATCACTTGGCGATTTCTTCGGCTACACCAAGGAGGTACGAACACCAGGTCCTTCCAGGGGGGTGGTCGGTGGTTAGTTTAGGAGATTCCGGGACTCTCCTCGGTGCCCCACCATGTCCTCAGCACGTCTTCCTGAGCACGTGCTGTCTCAGCAGCAGGTGTCGTGTCCTGCCTGTCCCAGAATCCTGTCACCGGGCCAGCTCCTGTGAGCCAGCGGGCAGACCGTAATCCCAGAACCTCAGCCTTCTTCCGAGTTTCTGTCCCCCGGGCCGCCGCTCTGCCCTGTCCCGAGACACGTCAGATGATCTCAAAGGAAAGGACATGCGTGGTTTTCGGGGACCCTGCTTTCCTGGAAGAGACGCAGGCTTCCCGGGGAGCAAGGAGCCCTCGCCCTTCCTTGGGGCAGAATGTCTTTGATGGCTCCTCTCCGGGCACTGATTCCTCTCGCCTCTGTGATCCCCATCTGAATGCTCCTTTCTCGGGAGAAAGCCATGACGTGAGCCCACTAATCTTCCCCGTCTAACAGACCTGCCGTCATAGACGCAGCCGGCGGATTCTTGACTGCAGGCCTCGGGCACAGCGGCCACACGGGGTGCTCTGCCTTCTAACAGCCCGTGCACACTGCGTGCGTCTAAACACAGTAGACTGGCTGTCGGCACGCACCCCGATTCCCTCTGCTCGTCCCTCTCAGAAGGGTAAGCGTCTTTGTTTCCTTCACCCCTAGAGCTCCAGCAAGGTTCAGATGCGGGAGGCGAGAGACGTCCCGAGGCCTGGGTTTGAGCTGATTTCAGCGGGAAGAGAGGCGACGGGGCTACGGAGCCAGCGGCCCCGTCCTGTGGCGACTTCCTCGTCTCCACTTTGTAGCGGAGGCGGAGCAGTGATGGAGGTGGTGGTGGGGGGGGGGGGGGACCAGGGCATCGACCCCACACTTGCTCACAGGGAACCACTCTTGATTTAGGCCACTCCGGGGTGGCCAGCCAGGAGTCACCCCGCAGAGCCTGTGTCCGGTGGCTCCCCATCCTGCAAGCCATCGGATCCCGTGCACGACAGCCCTTTCGGTTACTGTTTTCTGGTTCCTCCCACCAAGCCCTGATGGACTGAGTATGCGGGAGATGTTTGCTGAATAAATCAAGAGACAAATGATAGCTGCTCCTGGACTTGAAACACATTTTCTTATGCCTGTAATAGATAACTTGCACCTCTTACAAAGTGACGTCTTCATATTCTTCTTTTGTTCCTTGTCAATTATAAATTACAAGCACATGCTAAGTGAGCATGAGATGGATTTCGACATTTGAAAACTCACACTGCTGTCACTACAGAGAAAAAGCTCAACCCCCTTTTACTTCATACTGAAAATAATTCTTCATTTATACTTCTTTTACAACTACTAAAGCTCAAAACGGACTGAAATTGTTTTTTCCAGTAGAGGGGTTCCATGCTACTAAACAAACTGTGACAAACGTCGTAACGGATGAACGCGGCACCCCTCACACGGAACGAGGTAGGAATGCCATCTCGTGTCATTGGCCGACGGTAAGGCACATTCATTAGGGCTTTGGTGGCCTTTCCATTCTCAGATTAATTCATCATCTTCCCGAGACACACCGTGACCGTTCTGTTGCAGTAACTTTCTGGAATGACCCGTTGTGTGACCTGAATGAAGAGGTTCGGTTGCCAGAATGATTTAAGAAAACAAGCTTCCAAAGCACTTCACGAGAGATGAAGCTCAGATTTGTCATATTCTGACATTATCATATGAAATTTGTCACACTTTCACATGCATGAACACTGTGACTTTACACGACAAGAAGAAAAAGAGCAAGCTGTCAGCACAAAAGGAAATGTTCAGATTGGAGGGGTCCGGAAAGGAAGGGAGTGCCCCCCTGGACACCCGGGAGGGGGACATGGTGAGGGGAATACACAGTGAGGGGGTGGGAGACACAGTGAGGGGGTAGGAGACACAGTGTGGGGGATGGGAGACACAGTGAGGGGGTGGGAGACACAGTGAGGGGGTGGGAGACACAGTGGGGGGGTGGGAGACACAGTGGGGGGGTGGGAGACACAGTGGGGGGGTGGGAGACACAATGAGGGGGATGGGAGACACAGTGAGGGGGTGGGAGACACAGTGAGGGGGTGGGAGACACCCTGAGGGGGAGGCACAGTGAGGGGGAGGCACAGTGAGGGGGTGGGAGACACAGTGAGGGGGTGGGAGACACCCTGAGGGGGAGGCACAGTGAGGGGGAGGCACAGTGAGGGGGTGGGAGACACAGTGAGGGGGATGGGAGACACAGTGAGGGGGTGGGAGACACAGTGAGGGGGTGGGAGACACAGTGGGGGGTGGGAGACACAGTGGGGGGGTGGGAGACACAGTGAGGGGGATGGGAGACACGGTGAGGGGGTGGGAGACACAGTGAGGGGGTGGGAGACACAGTGAGGGGGTGGGAGACACCCTGAGGGGGAGGCACAGTGAGGGGAGGCACAGTGAGGGGGTGGGAGACACAGTGAGGGGGTGGGAGACACCCTGAGGGGGAGGCACAGTGAGGGGGAGGCACAGTGAGGGGGTGGGAGACACAGTGAGGGGGTGGGAGACACAGTGAGGGAGTAGGAGACACCCTGAGCGGGAGACACAGTGAGGGGGTGGGAGACACCCTGAGGGGGAGGCACAGTGAGGGGGTGGGAGACACAGTTAGGGGGTGGGAAACACAGTGAGGGGGGAGGCACGCTGCGGGGGAGGCACCGTGAGGGGGGACCCCTGTTTCCCAAGAGCCCCTGTACCTTGTGGTTCTCCTGCAGCTCAATGTGTGATGTCTTGAAATCGGGACCTTGGGAGCTCGCATTTAATCTATTTTTCGCCTTGAGGAGCTCATCCATTTCTTTCACCTGGGCCTTTAGACTTCTATTTTCTCTCTCCAGTTCTTGTTTTTCTGTCTCGAGTATTTCCCTCTGGTCCCGTTCCGATGCATTTTCCACCTGCAACCTTTCTAGCTGAACAGAGAACACACAGAGAAGCAGACTGTAGCATCAAAGGCCAAGCTCACAGCCAACGGTGTCCACTACGAAAGTTCACGGATATGTCCGTTTGCACAGTTTTTCAGAAGGAAACTCCATTTGTCTAAAAAGTTGACGACAGCACACATGTCCTAAGACCTGGCCATGCCCTGGATAAGTGTATCTTACCTCTTGGTTCCTCTGACTATCCTACACCCACACGGATCGTATTTGTCAAACAGACATGTTATGTGAAAAACTGATGATATTTTGCCAATGATCTCCACTCAACTGATGAACATTTATCAGTTAGAAGGCACAAAATCATTTCGTGGGCAATTCTGATTGGACGGATAGAGTTCATGTATTCATTCATTCATTCATTCACTATAACTTTCCATCTGTAATCACCGTACTGGTCACTGCGATTAAAGACAAGCAAACACATTAAAATACGTATTACAGGTTCTGTGATTCAAGTACTATAAAATGTAGTCAACCTCACATGAGTGAGTGGCCAATTTGATTTTCAGGAGGTATAGTTTAGCAAACCATGGCCAGAGAGCCATACCTGGCTCATGAGGTCCTTTTTTTAATAGCTGAAAAAAAAATCAAAAGAAGAATACTATTTCAGACATATTAACATGATATAAAATTCAAGTTTCAGAAATGACCTGATTTTTTAAAACCTCAATTTATCAGAAAATAATGGGAGAAGCTGTTGTAAACTAAAAAGGTGATTAAAAAGGTATAACACCTCATACATGAATAAAACTAGATGGGCTTAAAACAAATAGATATCAAAGATATAGAGGGAATTTGAATGCACACCAGATCTTGATGATATTAATAATTTATTGATTTTTTTTGGTTTGGTAATTGTGGTCATTTACGAAAGTGCCCTTATTTTAGGAGAGGCCATGCTCACGCATTAAAGACACAGTGTCATGATGAAGACAACTTGTGTCCAAACAGTATGTGAATGACAAAGATTAATCTCCAAAGATAAAAGATGGTATGGAATATAAAAAGTAATAAACAGAACGAGATATGTATCATTTACAAAACTTTAAAGTGTATATTTCTCAAGAACATATATAAATAACAGGCACATACTATAACAGTGGCCTGGGGAGGGAACGGATGTGGAGGAGGATACACAGGTAACAGGAAGAGAGTGGAAGACAGAGCAGAGGGGGCCTTTGCAGAGACTCGTGGTGAGAACAGGCCCGGAGCTAAGGCATCCCGCATAATAAACTTCTCTGCATCTGACAACATTAAATAAATAAGTCCATATATCAAAATATAGATGTTAGTGTAGACGTGGGTACCAAGACACAGATTTAAAGACATAATTGTATTTTTAAAACGAAATGGATAAATATGGTTAACTCTGGCCACAAAATTGAAAGGGAGAAGGGATGAAAGAAATGTCTTTTCTTGAATGCCTCACACGAAGAGAATTATGGCCCTGGAAGTAGAGACCTTCCGGGTATGAGTCTGGTACCTGAGCATCCCTGGTGAGCCTCACTGCTGGGAGGTGGAGGCGAGGGCGAGCATGGAGTAAGGAGGACCGGTTTGACGCAGCAGCTTAGCGCTTAAATAATATGGTGGTGGTGGTGATGCCATGGGTGTTGAACTCGGCTGGATGTTGTTAAATGACTTGGAAGCTGTGAAGAAAATGACTGATGGGCTCGGGTCAGCCAACTTTCAAATCAGAGGATGATACGAAGGCTGGGCATTGTCCCCGACAGTGTTTGAAGAAGCTCTGATCTGCTGAATCCAGAGGGCACGCTGATGTGCCCAGGCCCAGGACTGACCTCACAGAAGACCTTCACGTCTCCCGTGCCAAGTCAGGGCCACGAGAGGGAGGAGTGGAAAGGGAAGGCTGGGAAGAGCTCATTTGAATGGATGGACTTGAGCACCGTGAAGCAATATCTGATCCCAGTAGGATCACCAAAATGAGTGTCTCAAAGACCATACAGATACAACGGACCTGGACGACCCTTAGAGACATCAAGCAGTGGATGATGATGGACAGTTGTAAATATAACCAATCTCACCTTCTTTTTCCAGAGGTAATACCTTTGCTGGACCTCGAATGACCTTGAGGTTCCAGAATGCCTCATTGGTTCATTAGAGTGAAGACATCATGCTAATTAGACCTGATGAACAAGAGGTGGCAAGTACTTTGAGTGCCCTTGAGCATGACAGAGAGTAGAAAATTCACCCCACACAGATTAATGCACTCCCCCCCAAAAAAAACATGCACAGAGGCCAGTTTTCTGGTGCACACAGAGGCCAGTTTTCTGGTGCACACAGAATCATCACCACTCACATACAGGACACGTTACAGCACCAAGAAAGAGGCAGGGTGCTTGGCTAGCCTCCTTTTTGGGAGACTGGATATACTGCATTTAAAAATAAAGTTCTGACCCATTCCTGGCGTGTCCCCAAAGCATGGCATTTTGAATGAGGCTGTGAGCAAGAGGGGAGCAGCGGTCCCCAGCTCTATGCACTTGGTCCAGAAAATCCAATGGAACTAGAATAGGCCATGGACACAAAGGCACGGTGGGGATGTGGCAATTCCAACAGAGAAGTAACAGAGTCGACCCCAACGGTTCTCGAACAAGGCAATGCCATCCGTGGAAGGGACCTACTTTTCTTTTGAAAACCAGCACCCCATATGCTGAAGTTGGTCCTTGGTAGACAGTGAGCTCCTGGTGATGAAGTGACTGTGTGTCCGGAGCTGCCTGTCACGGTCTGGCGATTGTCACAGCCACCAAGTGACAGCATCGGGCAGACTTAAAGGCAGTTCTTCAGGCACGGGACATGACATATTCAGGATCAGGACCAACCGGTGCAGAGGACAACAGTAAATTACACAGGTGCATGACCACACCCTCAAGTAACCTGTCTATATGACACGGTGCTCTTGGAGTTGACACCTATGAGTTCGTAGGCAGTGTCTTTCAATGAGCTAATGTGGGTGGATGAGCACTCAGGCATGATTCATGAGATGCAAACGGAAGCTGCCTTACTACATACCTACCAGGGGATGGCCCTGGAGGATGGTGCTGAGAAAGAGACCCACCGAGTCCTTGGAGAAAGAACACTGGTCAAGCACAATGAATGGAGGGACAAAGGACCCACAGTTAGGACCCACACAGAGGACTGGAAACTAGTGAATCGCTTGGCTTCTTGGCCAGCAGCCTTGACAGAGCGACTGAAAGACGAAAGACAAAGAGGTCTGTGGGAGAGGCGAGAGGAAGGACAGATGAGTGTGGGCATAAAAGAGTATCGTTGTAGCCGCCGGTTTCCACCAGAGAGGCACTGGGCAGCGAGACGGGCAGAATGATGCCTCCAGGCAACACTGGTTATTGTCAGCCCTTCACCAGCCCAGGAGCTCTTGTAGCGTCAGGTTGGAGGGTATGTGTGGTCCAGGGGTAAGGGCTTCCCCTCAGCAAAGCTGCCCAAGCTGTCCCCGAGCCAAATGAATGCCCAGTCTCTGTGCTTCAGAGAACAGCCGCCTGGTGACAACACACCTGCCCCTCTCGGTAGAAGACACGTGGAGTTTTCATTACAAAGCAGTCTAGGTTTGCCTTGTCTCCTCTTGCCTCTGCCAGTCTCGTGATCTAAGGGACTGGGGAGAAGGTGGTTTACCAGCACGGATTGCTGCAGAACATCACCTACAACCTCAGGCCCTACTGAGCAGCAAAGAAGATGAGCAGTGGGCACATTACCAAGGGATGCGCCGGTCCTTCCATGCCAATTGCAAGTCAGCCGCTGGTCTGAGCGCGCGAGTGGTTTGTTCAATGACATCTGTGTTCCCAACTTGAGGAAGACACTCTCCAGAGGGTTCCCAACTTCGGGCATCCACACGAGACCAACGGCCAGTGTGTGGGGCTGTGTCCCAACATCTCCAGGAACAGAGGAGGGAAGCGGCTTGATTCTTCTCACCACCTGTCCCAAGGTCACCGTATTTGCTTACAGAATTTCACTTATACTCTGGCCCAGAGAGTGTGAACATTCAGGTGAAACATGCCCTTCTCCTGTTGTGCTGTAAATACTTTGGGATCCCAGGACGTTCCAATGTTTTCAGTCACTTGATAAGGTTCAAAATTTTAAGACACCGGACACATGTATCCTTTCGAGTTTTGACGGCAACATTCCAGGTGTGCCCAGGGGCAGCGGTACCTCCAGGTTCACGTTTTCCCTTCTAGAAGAGGAAGGACGCTTCTCGAGTGTGAGGCAGTTGAAAGGATCGATTACTCAAATATCTCAGGGAGTCAAAGTCCAGCGTGAACATTTGTCCAAATTCAAAAACAAATGTCAATGCCTATGGATCGATTACGAGAGAATCTTCAATGCACCTGACCTTTTCACTGAAAAATTATTAGACATTTATGGCAGAGGAAAGAATTTCCCAAAAGATTTGATAAAGGTCAAAGTACGGACTTGAGTATTATTTGAAATTTAGTTTCCAATAATTATTTATGACCAGACTTCAAAATCACTTACGAGGAACATTTTCAGTGGTTCTCACCTGTAACCAGACAGATTTCCTTCGTGTTTCTTATTATACGTGTGTTCACCTCAGTTCTCCAGCTCCCCAGCTCCCCCAAATAAAACAGAAGGGGGAAGGCAGGACCTCGTTCCCTCTCTTTTCAGGGCTGGTCACAATCAAGGAGGCTTTACAAATGGCAACTGTTTGTACTAACGTTGGGTTAAATGTAGGGTGGGCATGGAGGTACACCTTGCTGGAGGCCAGGCTTGGACTCCAAAGAAGATCTCAGGTAGAACAAGGATGGAAACTGTAAAGACAAGAGGCATAAAGGCAAGTACCAACCAGTGTTCAGGACAGTGCGACGACCTTACACAAGTCATGGGTACCAACCCAACAAAAAGGCTTGAAACCTCAGTCAGGGAGGGACCGTGAGGAGGTTGTTCTAGAACAGAACCAGTTCAGAGACCTGCTGACAAATGTCACGACGTCC